ACCCTAGCTACCTATCTATGTATCCATCTATCTATCCCCATACACCCCTCTATCTAACCATCTATCTATCCCCATATACCCCCTCTATCTATCTATCTATCTATCTATCTATCTATCTATCTATCTATCTATCTATCTATCTATCTATCTAAACATTCCTAAAGAGCCTTTCTAAGAAATATATGAGGAAAGCTGGCAAATAAATCAATGTAAATAATGCTATGTTATGGACTTTCTGTTATGAAGAAAGATTCACCTTATCAGACCAAGTCATTTCAACTTTTCCTCATTGAAAAGGCATATTAGGGTTCATTAGGAGGAGCATTGCCAGCAGATCTAGGGAAGTGATTATTGCTCTTTATCCAGCCCTGGTTAGGCCACATCTGGAATATTGTGTCCAGTACTGGGACCCCCATTACAGAAAGTATGGGAGAACACTGGATGAGGCTCCATCGCTCAAGGGTGCATCTAGACTGCAGGCTTCTTTGGGAAGAAGCTTTTCCGGATGAGAGCTTCTGAAAATCTTCCGAAAGAGAGTCCACACTGCTAAAGCACATCGAAAAAGTGATCTGCTTTTTCGACAGCTAGCATCCAGACTGAAAGGACGTTCTCTCGCATGTAAGATGGGATTGCTGTGGGCGGAGTGGCCACCAGGGCCCCTGTGCTTTTTTCTCTTTCCTCTTCTTCCGAAAGAACTCCCTCTTCCCCGTCCACACGCCTTTTTGCGAAAGAGCTCTATTGGAAAAAGGCTTCTCCCTCGTAGAATGAGGATTACCAATGTCAGAGAAAGCCCTCCGTTCTTTCGATTTTCTTGTGGAAGAACGCGATTGCAGTGTGGACGTGAGTGAAGTTTTTTTGGAAAAATGGCCGCTTTTCAAAAAAACCTCTGGGCTACGTCTACACTGGCCCCTTTTCCGGAAGGGGCATGTAAATTTCACCAGTCGTCGTAGGGAAATCTGCGGGGGATTTAAATATCCCCCGCGGCATTTAAATAAAAATGTCCGCCGCTTTTTTCCGGCTTTTAAAAAAGCCGGAAAAGAGCGTCTAGACTGGCCCCGATCCTCCGGAAAAAGTGCCCTTTTCCGGAGGATCGGGGCCAGTCTAGACGCTCTTTTCCGGCTTTTTTAAAAGCCGGAAAAAAGCGGCGGACATTTTTATTTAAATGCCGCGGGGGATATTTAAATCCCCCGCGGATTTCCCTACGACGACTAGTGAAATTTAAATGCCCCTTCCGGAAAAGGGGCCAGTGTAGACGTAGCCCTAGTGGGGTGACGTGGCAAAATAAATTTTACTTTGTGACATTTATAGAGATTATCACACTAGCTGCACACAAAAAGTCCCAATAAATTGTGCCGCATGAAATGAGCATCTCTGAGGGGGCTTGTGTCAGTGGAGTGTGATGTTATTTAAATATCGAAAAATTACTACATTTAAAAACTAGTTTAAAATGAAGAAAGGGGAATATAACATGGGAATCCGGTGAAAATAAATTATGAAATCAACATGATCTCTTTAGATTCCAACTGTTAGGACAACTTTAAAGTGGAAAAGGTCGACCTATCTTAATAACAAAAGAAAAGTGAGACAGACAAAATGGCTGCCGTTACTGAGTGGAGCACATGACCTACGAGGAGCGGCTGAGGGATTTGGGCTTATTTAGTGCACAGAAGAGAAGAGTGAGGGGGGATTTGGTAGCAGCCTGCAACTCCCTGAAGGGGGGTTCCAAAGAGGATGGAGAGAGGCTGTTCTCAGTGGTGACAGATCGAGGAGCAATAGTCTCAAGTTATAGTGGGAAAGGTCTAGGTTGGATCTTAGGAAAAGCTATTTCCCTAGGCGGGTGGGGAAGCCCTGGGCTGGGTTCCCTAGGGACGGAGTGGAATCTCCATCCCTAGAGGTGTTTAAGTCCCGGCTTGGCCAAGGCCTGGCTGGGATGATTGAGTCGGGCTGGTCCTGCTTTGGGCGGGGGCTGGACTCGATGGCTCCTGAGGTCTCTTCCAGCCCTGGGATTCTAGGATTCTATAATGTTACCTCAGAAGGGACTCACCCCTGAGAAATGTCTGGGTTTCAATGAACTGGAATGCTCTGGCACACGTTTTGGGCCACCTCTGTACATGTGTACGGCCTGGAGGTTTTTGCGCCGCTGGGCGGAGGGGTGAAACCTAGGCCATGTTGGATGCCTTCTCTTTTCCTTTCCTCTCTTATGCTCTAGGAATGTGTTGGCAGCCTCTCAAACAGTGTGTGAACCCTCTAGTGGCGCGCACCCTGTTCGAGAGCTAACAAGCATCTGTATGTTGTAGAATCATAAAATCCTAGAGCGGGAAGAGACCTCAGGAGGCCATGAAGGCCAGCCACCTAGGGAAATAGTTTTTCCTAATATCCAACCTAGACCGCTCCCACTGTAACTTGAGTCCATTGCTCCTTGTTCTGCATCCGTCATTACTGTGAACAGCCTCTCTCCATCCACTTTGGAACCTCCCTTCAGGAAGTTGAAGGCTGCTATAAAATCCCCCCTCACTCTTCTCTTCTGTAGGATAAACAAACCCAAACCCCATGTGTAGCGAGACCAGACCACTTTGTGTGTACCTCATAAACAGGCTTACGGAGGGGATCCCTCTTGTTTTGTTTTGTTTTGTTTTGTGAGGAGCAATAAACACAACAGAGCATCTTTGTTCTTTACGGCCAACAGCTCTGTATGGCAATATCACAATGTACCACACTGTGGTTTTCGATACGGTCATAGTAATGCTAGACTACAACTAGGGGAAGCATCCGACTTTTAACAGTAAAATGTGAGTAAAAATGTTGATGTCCCAAAACACACCGACATCTACAAAACCACACTGCTAATGATCAAAATGTACACATAAGCAAAATGTGGCTTGAGAACTGCGTGTGCTGGCAACAACTCTATTTAAAATCACAACATCTTCTGTCAGTAAATCACAACCGCCTCATCCCACCCTGCCTTCCCACAGTTGTGAGCATTTATATTGCCAAAACTCATTTTTGAAAAAAAATGCTGAAAAAGAAACTTTGATGTCAACATTAGCGGTTTGGAACAGGTCCAATATGAGGAGAGATTAAAAAGACTGGGACTTTTCAGCTTAGAAAAGAGGAGACCAAGGGGGAATATAATAGAGGTGTGTACAATCATGACTGGTGTGGAGAAAGTGAATAAGGAAAAGTTATTTACTTGTTCCCATAATATAAGAACTAGGGGTCCCTACATGAAATTAATAAGAAGCAGGTTTAAAACAAACAAAAGGAAGTTTTTCTTCACACAGCAAAGTCAACCTGTGGAACTCCTTGCCAGAGGATGTTGTGAAGGCCAAGACTATAACAGGGTTCAAAAAGAGCCAGATAAATTCATGGAGGTTGGGTCCATCAATGGCTTTTAGCCAGGATGGGCAGGGATGGTGTCCCTAGACTCTGCTTCTCAGGCATTCCCTGTTCTGGTCACTCCCTATGGGGCACCTGGCATTGGCCACTGTCGGAGGACACGACACTGGGCTACATGGACCTTTGGTCTGACTCAGTCTGTCCAGGCTCATGTTCTTACTAGCAGACTGTTATCTCCTCCCCAG